ATGTCTTAGACATGATATTTGCATGAATCACAACCCTGTGTACATCTATGACGCCTTTGGTCGTCATTACATATGCTTTTTAGCAACCTTGTTTTATGTCTGAGATATGACATTTAAATGAACCACAATCCTATGTACATCGATGACACCTTTGGTCGAGTCTACGTATACTTTTCAGCAAGCCAGTGTAATGTCTTAGATAGGACATTTAAACGAATCACAATCCTGTGTACATCTTAATGCACATACGTATATACGTGTATGTATTGTTGCTATAAAATGGATGGAAATGTAACCAAAAAGTGGAAATAAGAAATAAATAAATAAATATAGTAGGAAAACAAGCCTACAAGGGGTTTGTCATATTTCACTTCCATGTGACCCTGAATGTGTTTAGGACGAAGCTTGCTGAATTTCAAGGTATTTCAACCTAGTGCTCTAATATCACTTTGACGTATAAATAGGTTTACTCCTTACCTTGTATTTAGTCTAAACTGGGACTAATTATCTCATACCTGTTTCAGGAGGTGACGACAATATTGTGACTAATAAAGCAATCGAATCGTGTATCAATTGTTCATTCTTCAGTGTACATAATTTCATGGCATATACACAAAAACACTAATACCTGTGACTTGCTTGAATATAATATTAATCTGATACAGACATTTTGTTACTTAGATTGGTTTGTACATAAGACCGGTATAAATTGAACACAATAATACTAACTACTAACGGTCGTCCCAGTGAAATGAGTAGTGACACTGAGAAAGTTCAGGGATAAAAAATAAAGGGTTTAAAAGTAGGACACAAATTAAAACTAACTAATCGTGAATATGTCCAGGCGTCTACGTGGATTGATAACCAATGCTTACCGATCTACCCTTCACAGAATTGGACTCACCCCATAAGAATAACTTAACAAAGAATGACAGCTTTAATAATGTTATTTTGCTCACAACTCCTTAATATTTTATGCAGGATGAAATATAAGCTTTATTTCCCATATGGTGAAACAGAACCAGTGTCATATATATCATATGTGCATATGTGTACATATCACTTTCGCCTAGTAACCATCGTTTCTGTATTTCGTCGTCTGTGACGTTACTAAACAATTGAACGTGACGTCAATGAAGAGGGCCGTCACACTTGCTTACTATGTTTTACTGCACAAATGTACATAAATTAAATGGATCAGAAAGAAATTAAGTGTCTTACGTCTTATACGAAACTCGTGCCAAAGTATGCATTGTCCTCGCTCTCGCTCCCAATACAACATTTCATATTCGTTTCGTATAAGTCGTATCACACACTTGTGTCGTGTACTAATCTGTATTTATCATTGCAGATACATCAATGAAGATAACTGCTTTATAAATCTGAAATAAATACAATAAATGATATTAGTCACTGCATTATCTGAAATTTACAAATTACATTATACATAATACATTATTTACAGCATGTAAAATAAAACAGCTAACCGATAAAACATACATGATCAATGTGTACAGCATTACACGCTACATTCAGAAATTGTTTGATTTCAGGACCTTAACAGGAAGGAACCAAGTGGTATATGTCAGGTACCCAAATGTTTGTAGTGTAGGGAAAATAAAACGTCTGAAAGCATGCCACAGTATATACCATGACATCAACTACAGAAATATATATAAATACACTATCACAGTTGCGAGAAAGAGATTCACTATTTAGAACTTAATCATATTTTTCTATTCTTTTTTCCAGTATTAGGGGCCTTAGGCCCCGATACAAACAGTATGTAATATTCTTGGTGGAAAGCTGTACAGAATACATAATAATATTACACAAAATTTCAAAATATAGATTGTATGATACAATACATAATATTTCACAAAGAGTGAGTGAGTGAGTTTAGTTTTAGGCATACCTCTGATTTTCCAACACCGTACATCTCCATTCTACCATAACCGCATTATTAAGATTTGTAAAAAAATACATACTGTGTTGGAAAATCAGAGGTATATAACGTGATTATATACCTCTTAATTACTTTGATTAACCAATCACATTCCGGTATATACTGAAGTCATAGTAGAATAATACATGTCCGAAATGGTATAACCTGCGCATGCCTGTGTCACACCGTCCCTGTGCGTGCGCGCGTGTGTGAGTGCGTGCGTGCGTGTGTATGTATATTTCTTCAGATATTCATTGGTGTAAGTGAGGGAGATAAAACATATTATTATCAATATAAATGGATTAAAGTGAGTCTTTCTTAGATGAAATTTGACTTGCCATTGAATATGTGACGGGTACGGCGGATGATGTGGTGTTACAATGGCATCGTGACATGTTGATGACAACCAATGGCTACAGATTCACCAATCTCGATATCTGGATGATCGTCAAATACTATATATTTGAAATCAGTGATGATGCCAGGTGTTCACAAGAAATTAAGTCTTGAAAGACAAACATTATGCAGAAACAGTTAGCTCTCAAAATCCTTATCTGCAATCTGGGAGCCAACTATCCACAGCGTAAATTATATAAGTGACAATCGAGAAGGTGTACTTCCTTTAGAGAAACAGACATAAGTAATTCCTGACCAGTTCAAATTATTGTCAAGGCTAATTATATCCGAAATCCAATTGTGTCTTTATGATAAAATCGGGCACTTCCTGTCCATGACAGGCTTCCCCTTGGTAATAAGTATATAACAAGCGTTTAATCCTTGTGGGATAACTTAAATGCGCTTTGATGCCTTGAAGTATTTAAATCCTCCATTTGTTTGGATATTGTAAATATATTTTATAAACCTGTCACAGTATCAATTCCAAATAATACTGTATTCAGATAATCAAGTATATTTACTGTCTAAAAATGTGCCGTCCACAAGGTACCCCAAGACGTGCTATTTGATGTCAGATTTAATGCTCTGTCAACACCCGTGAAGATCCGGGTATGAATCGGTCTTAAACAACCCATGATTGTCGTCAGAGGCGACTAACGAGGTCGGATGGTCAGACTCGCTCACTTGGTTGACACATGTCATCATATCCCAATGGCGTAGATCGACGCGTATGGCCCAGACCCGATTACCTCCATATATCTGGAACAATGCCAAATTAAACAACAAACAAACCCTGTCAACGTTTACATGAGTCGACAGGGGAACTAGGAATTAATGCGTTGATTCCAAACTCCTTTACTTGGTTGTATAATGCATGACAAACAAATGCAAAAAGACAGCAATAAGCGGATTTCTCCAGCTCAACTTCAGGGCTTTTTGTATTGCGGCACGTCCTTCTCGTGGTGTTCTTTCCACAAGCAGACGGATAGGCGGACCCACTCACAGTATAGCTGTAAACAGACCTTGTTCTATATATACTACCCATCAAAAGTTTAGACTCGCTTAAATCAATCACTATAAGTTATGTATGTACATATGGTTACAACGTAGATAAATTTCTCCACTAACTTGGGGGAAACATCTTGCAAACCTTATGCAGATTAATTGCACGCAGATCATGCATCCAATTGCTGAAAAGCATGTGTAAATATCGTGCATGTGAACAGCTGCATTTTGGTGTAAAGATTTGATAAAAAAATCTCCATTTTTCACCGAGTTTTATCATTTATTGAACACATGACAATATATCTTTCAACGTCACGAATTTGTTTTACAGTACATCAGCTCATGTATAAACAGTACCTGTAAACTGTATCGATTATTTCACAAAATCTAGTTGAGAACAGTTGACTGAAGTAAGTGGCTACATTTACACTAGTGAGTCTAAATTTTTGATGGGAGTATATATACAACAATGGACAGATACAGAGACAATGGTATTGCCTTGGACGTATTGATGTGTTTGCAAACATGGCCAAATAAAGGTTATAATTGTCCTAGACAGTAATTAAACTCAGAGAGCGACAAGAGTTGGCTGACAAGTCATTACATTTGGTTTTGGTATAGTACGTTTCACACTTTCTTAGTATTTGCAAGGAACCGTTACAGGATTGTTGGTGGCAAACCTGGACACACAGTGTAGTGATGGAAAAAAACTTAGAAAAACTTGTTAAATCTGTGTCGAAACCAGAAAAATATGTGTACAACCTTAAAAGTAAAAATGTAAGAACACCTGATACTAACCTCACGTAGAGACGTCTGACATGGCATTTGTGTTTGAATGAAAGTTTCATTGTGGACCACTCACGTCTTTACAGGCCTGTCCTAATGCTTGTTAAGGATTAATTGAAATGAATTGTTGTACACGTGTTATTGAGAAAAGTCTCAAATGAGATATACCAATCTAAAATTTCTGTATCGTTAGATTTTCTTTAATGTCCTTTCAAACACGTGGTATTGTTTCTTTTGGACATTAGTTTATATCATAAACATTTGTCTTTTCTTGTCAACAGCGGAATCTCCGAACTTCTAAACAGTCGCCATAATTCAGAAATAACAGCTCGACCTTTTGGTTTATCAATCACTTGAGTTTCTGGCTTGCTTACGGGCCACCGTCTTATGGCAGGAGAATTGCTGTGCAGGGATGGACTGTGTAATTGTGGACACTGTGTAAATGGCAGGTGTTCGCTGTAGGGCAGGACGTGCTTACTCTTTTCATGAAAACTGATGCCATCACTGATTTTCAGTGGTTCATTGATAAAAAAATCACAGCTATTTTGCCATTTGTCACAAAATGAAATCTGTTTTTGTGGGTGACCTTGACTGGATGTTGTTTTACTCTGACCTTCTTGTCTGCTGGTTTCAAATCAAAATCTCTTATGGACACCAAACCGGTCAAATGGCACGACGTTCAGCAAAACCTTCATTTTGGACGTCTGAAGAAACGTTTTCTTTCATCACAATGTGGGAATAAAAACACAATGCATCACCAAACGGAACTCAAGGTGCAAAGTTTGTTCTCAGCACTGGGCCAGAATATATCTGCCTCGGAGTTCAACCTCTCACAAATGATTATGGACAGCGGGAACAAGGAACAACATTATTCGGCCCTCAAAAAGGCATAGCACGACAGTATCAGGTAGTCTCCTGTTACAGGTGTCCAGAACATCTCCCAAGGTACTCCAGCTCTCATCTTGTCCGGAGTCTCTGACCACACACCATTGGGATTACAGGGGGTGCAGCTCTTGAACCAGAATCCAGACTGGTGTTCTTGAGCGCAGTTCAGGGGGCTGTCATCGTTGTCACGATCGAAGGTAGAGAAGGGTTGCCCCTTCAATTCGGCTAAACAATCACCACCAGCGAATTCAGGAATATTGCTTGCCCAAGACCGTTCATATGTCATTGTGTAGAGGCCATCTTGGGATAGGTTGAAAGACTTGTATATTCTCTGTCTTTTAGCAGTGGAACTATTGTCTGTAGTTCTAAACACGAGTAACTGACTACGCCCATTTGCAATATAGGCTATTTTGTCGTTTCCAAGCCAGAAGTCCTTGGTAAGGTCCCCAAAGCCATCCTTGTATTCTTGCCACGATCGATTGAAATTAGTAGATCCGTCCATATGCATTTGGATATGTGTATTGCCACCGTGTTTCATCCTGCAATTGACTTTGAATGGGCTAGGCGCCATATAAGGTTGAATTAAAAAGATCCCAGACCCCTTGTTATAATGATGTGTGCTATATCCTTCCGAACAATCTGAAAGAATGTTATCCATAATTTAGAACTCATGTTTTAGCTGTATAAGAACAAACGTATTGGCAAAAGATTATTTCCAGATAAATGAGGTTCAGTGTAGTCAGATGTACAATAGCTTTTTTCATAGAGGGCTTTAGAAACAGGCTGTCACATAATGCATTTATGTCAGTAACACATTCATGTGTTTTCCCTTTCCAAGATAAATATTATTTAGCAAAGTAGAGATTCTATATAATTACATCTTTGATTACATGTAACATTTGTGTAGTTTCTGAAATTAGTTTAAGAAAGGACAGCTCGGCTATGATCATCGTCCTACCCTGCATGATTCTTTCACAGAACTGGCCGATATAGCCACCATAACATTGACAGCTTAGCTTGTCCTGGTCATATTTGCCCCCATTCATGCATCGGTTCTGGACCTGTAAGATATAAGAGTCATTTGTTAGTATGAACAAACAGGTTTCAAATAAGGGTTCCATCGAACGCAACATTGCACTATACTCATAGATACGCCTCTGTAGATAGCCGAGTCCCTTCTGCATGTCAGAAACCTAGGAATTCAAATTCGAATCCCGATTTGCCCCGACTATATTTAAGCTCGCCAGTACCTTACTAGTGTTTTACCTACACAGCTTTCCTTCTAGGTTGACACGAAATGATATTACTGGAATGTTATTCTTAGCGGTATAAACCAATTCACTTACAAACTAACATATTCATAAACAATAGTCATGCAACAACAAATACGATTTTCCGCTTGTCAGCGTATCACAAAATGTTTACATTTCATAACTTTTGATTATAAGATTTCAAAGAGCGTCATACGATTCTTGCTCAGATGTTGTTCGACCACGATTACAGCATTCAAGGCCTCAAAACGTTTATGGTAGATACGTGGAAGAAATTTCAAAATCAGCGAAAAGATTATGTCCGACGCAATTCCTTATTTTGACTTGTACCACACGTTCCTTTCCTTTCAGAAATACGACTGATTAGCCTCTGCATGTGTTTATGACCACCCACCTGTGGTGCAGGATACGCTCATCTTTTCGAGAACACGTAGTATCATCACTGTTTGATTGTGATTCATAAACACACAATATAGCACACGGTTGTACAATCGAGTTCTTTTGGGTTTGGAAATGTTTTTGTTGCTTATAATTAGGTAAAAAAATCAACTCTCATAATGACAAGACAAGGCAGGGTAATATATTCAGCATAGAGGCCATTGGCCCAGAATGCAGTCATGCAGTAGATATATTTATGAAATTATCAGGAGACGGAAATTGATGACAAAATTTGTACTCTGTTTAGTTGGTTGGTAGATGTAACGCCACGCGTAGCACTATTCCAGCTATATGGCGGTTCTCTTTTTAGCATGAGGTAGGCAAATATATGCGTTGTCATATACACAAATATAGCACTAGTGTGCATTTCATCCATAGAATTCTTTATAAAGTCTTGTCAAGTATTATTGGACTTATTTCTGATCTTTTGCACGTAAAAACAGATATGAGCAGATAGATCATGTCCTGTTAGCTTTTCTTGATATACACACATGGAAATTAAATAAGCGACATCCGATACATTTTGTAATAATTTTGTACCTTTTACATATTATGATGTTTTGATGGTGTACAGATTTTGAATTGCGTTTCCTTTAATCAATGTTAGGTTTGGGGATTACATCCATCGCGCGAACACAACATGACATGCATGGAATTCAAGGTACCCACGTTCCCCGCAAAAAGCACTTTCAATCGGATGTGCCAAAAGCTATAAAATGAGAAATATTTGTGATAATTTACTCAGAACCTATCAGTATGGCACGGCGGCGATATTCACAAGCTAGGAGATGGGAAATTATTGGCATGCATAAAACAGGAATGTCCGCCAGAGCGATTGGTCGTCAGCTAAACATTCATCACTCTATCAGTAGTAGACTTGTTAGAAAATTCATCCCCATCGACCATGGGAGGGATTGTCTAAGGCCAGGCCGACCCAGGAAGACTACCAGAATGGAAGATAAGATAATGCCCTGGCACCACAAGTGCCGTATTGACAATCCTTTGGCTTCCATACAGAGCTGTGAGCAACAGAACAGTGAGAAACTGCTTAAAGTCGATCGGAATGTGGGCACGACAATTAAGCGTCCAGCACTAACTATTCTCCATTAAGGAGTCCGTTTGGATTGGTGTTTGGTCCGACGTCAGTGGAAGTTGACGCCATGGAGGAAGGTCCATTGGTCGGACGAGAGCTGCTTCCTTTTACACGTCACAGATGGCCGTCAACGTTTTTAGAGGACCAAAAACACTGTGTATGTGCCAAGAAACATGCAGATTTCAGTTCCGTTTGATGGTAGGGGGTCAGTTATGGTCTGGGGATGCCTTTTCCATGACTGTAAGCTGGATCTTGTCACGGTTCGGGAAAATCTCAGTGGCGATCGCTACATCCGGGACATTCTTCACCCCGTCTTTGTACCTCATTTTGACAATCATGCTTTAGCTACTCGTCCTTTATTCATGGATGACAACGCTCGGCCTAACCGTTCCCGTGCTGTGAAGGAGTACCTTCAGAACAACGAATTCATCCAACTCCCCTGGCCTGCTATGAGTCCAGATATGAATCCTTTAGAACATGTCTGGGACATTTTTGGACGTCGAATCCAAAAACTGGAACCTCGTCCACAGAATCTTGCTGGTTTAGAAGCTGCACTGCATCGTAAGTGGCAGCAGCTGCCGTTGGAATGAATTCGACGACTCACTGGAGGCATGAGGAGAAGGGTCGACACCGTCATCCGGGCTCGTATCGGGTACACTCGCTACTGACATTTTGTTGGTGATTTGTCTTCTTAATACCTCACAGAACACTTTCTGCCAGAAATGAACTTATCTGTGCCTTTGTCGATCTCAACAGCACCAAAGTTGTATCGTGAAACAATTTTGCTGAAATTCCCACTTCAGAATCACATGTCTAAAAAGATTAAAACATGTTATCACCATTTACCATTGTTTGTTATTCATTCCTCAATAAGTTCAACTTCCATGATAAAGTAGTGTTGGACCCATTCCTGACTTGATATGATGGCAGTTTTTCATCCCACTTATCCAAAGTTGGCAAAATCGTGTGTCGCTTAATTAATTTCCATGTGTATATTTACTAACATTGTACCTATTTCTACTTGTGGTATATGCAGTACTGGACCTCAGCACCCCATCGCTGGTCGTGAGAGGCGACCAAACTGGGCAATCTGTGTGCCGTGGGTTTCGCTCCTGTGTCGTTCGGGGAGAGGATTCTGGGGGTTGAGGGCACAGGAGCGAGGAACGGTGTTACTTGCCATACACGCCACTTCGACCCTGACTTCTCCTAGACGGGTGGCAGAATAAGCCCGGTTCTATCAATAGGCTGGCCATGCAAAGCTCCGTCCTACTAGGATATGTATTTGCACGAACTTGATCTAAAATTGTTGCAGGATTATGTTTTTCTGTCGTAGCAAAGAGAAAATTGTATGTTGGATTTTCAAATACATAATTTCTTTTATGTTATTTGTCTAGTTTGAATGTCCAGGAGGCGCTGGGTCATGGGCATCCTTCAGCGTGTTCTAGAGTATATCATATAAGTATCCTTGGACTGCAAGTCAGAGACCCACACTTTTTCTTTATGATACTTCGTGTTGGGTGGGAGAGCTGATGAGATCAAATTTACTCTCCCAAAAAAGAAACGCATCATGAAAAAAGCAATTTCATGTAGCAATGAATTAAAACGTGATTCATTTTACAAAAGGTTTGCTCTGTTTATGAGTCCTATGGTGTTTATGTTTTGAAACATCACAACAAAACGCACCATCCGTAAACTACCTGTATTTAACAGCATGATTTTCAATTTCGGCGTGTAGTGTCACATAATACACAATTCACATGCAATGCACGTGAAAGTTGGGGATCAGATAGTCTCAATGATGGGTATAAAAGGTTGATCGCTGTCTGTCGATTATTCACTGTATTTGGAATATTGTTGACGAACGCAAAATGCCACGTCTAAGTGAAGCTAACCGTCATATCGCCATTGGTTTGCTTGAAGCTGGCCAGTTGCCCGACGCATGAATGTTCACCAAAGCACCATTTCACGGTTCTGGGAGAGATATCGCCGGCAGAATGCGGTAGCAGATGCCCCTCGTAGTGGGCGACCTCGAGCAACCACTGCGGCGCAGGATCGCTACATCCGGGTACATCACCTGCGTCATCGAACAGCTACGGCGACCAGTACCGCTCAACAAATACCCGGATTGAGGAGGCTTTCGGCACAGACTGTCAGGAACAGGTTGAGAGAGGCTGGTTTACGTGCCAGAAGACCTTATTTTGGCCATGTGCTTCGACAACAACATCGTCGACATCGAGTTCAATGGTGCACCAACGTTCAGGCCTGGAACCAACCGAATTGGCGTAGAATCTGGTTCAGTGATGAATCACGATTTCTATTGGAACGACGCGATGAAAGAATGCGGGTGTACAGACGTCGACGTGAACGTTTCGCCGTTTCGCCCAGGTGGACAGATTCGGCCGGGACAGTGTCATGATGTGGGGAGCGATCACCTGCCGTAGGAGAAGTGATGTGGTGATGATCCAGGGCAACCTGACAGCTCAACGGTACTGTGACGAAATCCTACGCCCACACCTCCTTAAAATCATTGATCGCCAGAGGGAGTTGTTTCAACAGGACAATGCCAGGCCCCACACAGCACGTCACACTAGAGACTTCCTCCAGAACCACAACATCAATGTGCTCCCCTGGCCCTCAAGATCACCGGACTTAAACCCGATCGAACATCTGTGGGATGCCCTGGACAGACGGATGCGACGCCGTAAC